CTTTCGTAGGAGGGCCAGGCCTGTCCACTCCGTCCCTCAGAGGAAGGTGTCCCTAACTTTGGGGCTTCCCCTGGGAGGCCTGGGGCCCCTCATGCACCTCACTTCACCCAGCCACACCCCATCCCCACCCACGCCAGGCGCTTTGAGGAGCACACGGCCCCTTTGCAACGGGGCCTGCGTGGCCCCTGCTGGCCTCCCGTCTGCACAGCCTGCAGCCCCTCCGCGCCAGCACGTGCCCGGGGAGCCGAGACCTGCTCCCGGGCGGCGGTCTGTCTCTTTTTTAAAAATGCTGCTTGGTTTCTTCTGGGTGACGTGCTGTGTGCGAAGGGCTCCGTTGCCACGTGCAGGGGACGCGCAGTTTCTCAAGTGCCCTGGACGCTGCCCGCCCCTGCCCCCCTCTCCGGCCCTGGTCTCCCCTCTCCTGCATCCTCCCTTCCCCCGGGCCTCCCCTCCCCCAGGCCTCTCCTCCCCTGCGCCTGGCCATTCCTTTGCCTCCGTGCAGGTTGGACCCGGCATAGGGCTGGTGCTGAGGTGTGTGGCTTTGCTGCCACCACCCTTTCTGATGGCCGGTTTTAGCTGGGACTGTTCCCTCTCCCTGCAGGTGGATTTGGCCTTTAAGGAACCTAAAACCTTCAGTGTTAGGGACATTGGTGGTTCTCCCCCAGGGGACTTTGCCCTGAGGGGAGCTCTGATAGTATCTGGGGACAGTTTGGTCATCACGACTCGGGGGTTAGGGGCTGGGGTGCTTCCGGCGCCCAGTGCACAGAGGCAAGAGGTGCCGCCGGACGCCCCGTAAGGCCCAGGGTGGTGGCCGCAGCCCCTGTTCCGGGCCAGAGGGTCGGGAGGAGGAGCCCCGCTCGGGATGGCCGGACCTGCCCCCCGCGGACGCCTCTCCTGCTGAGGCGGCGCCGTGTCGGGAGGTTGCCGTCCGCTCCAAGCCCCGCTAACAGCTGCCCGTGTCTCCCCCAGATCGAGCGACGCCTGGACGCGGTGCGGGGCATGTGCCACCAGTCTCACAAGCGCCTGATGGCCTGCTTCCAAGGCCAGCACGGCACCGACGCCGACCGGAGACACGTGAGTGCAGGCCCTATGCGGCTTCAGCGGGTCCCCGCGTGCCCACAGGCTGCCCCGAAGGCGTCTCCCAGCCAAGGGCCCTGCCCCCGCTGAGCCTTCCCCAGACGCCTTCAACTCGAGCCGCGTGTCATTGGACGTGTCGGTTAGGAGCCCTTGGTGGCCACAGGTGACGAGCTGTCTTGACGCCGACTTGGAAAGCAGACCTTGCTGGCTTGCTAGAGAAGGTCCGGAAGTCGGACGGACTCGAGGCGAGGGGCCGGAGCCCAGGGTCCTCCCCTGTCCGCCCCGCCCCTTCCTCAGTGACAGCCCTCGTGGTGCGGGGGTGGCTGCCAGCCGCTTCCCTGGCTCGTCGTCATGTGCGTGTCCAGTGGGGCAGAGCACATCCCACCCAGTGGTTTCCTGCTGGAGTGACCCAGCATTGTCCCGGGCCCTGGTGGACGGGCATCTCTGCACTGGGCTCTTCACCCCCGCCACCCGGGAAGGGGTGAGGTCGGGCGAGGAAATGGCGTGGGCCGTTGGCTCAGGCTCATGCCAGCTCGTCTAGGGCGGGGGTTAAGGTCCTGCCTCCAGCTCACGGGCTTCGCCAAGGAGGTTCTTGCGGGAAGCCAGGACTGTTACGGAGAGGAGGGGAGGCCTCGGAGGACGGTCAAGGGTCTACTCCAGGCCCTTTGCCCGGAGTGCCCAGGTCCGCCAGCGGAGCGCACGCTGTCACTCGTGAGGCGGCTCACTCACACTGATCGTCCCTGCGTTCCAGGCACGAGGGAACTGACATAGATTCAGTCTCGCGACTTGGGCAGTTTGCACGGGGGAGAAACCAGTGATCTGAGGCAGGTGACTGAGAATGGGTGTCAGCGATAATGAAAAGCACCCCCTGTCCTCTGCCTTCCAGAAAAAGCTGCCCCTGACCGCGCTCGCTCAGAACATGCAGGAGGCGTCAGCTCAGCTGGAAGAGTCCCTCCTGGGGTAAGAGGTGGTCGGCCGCCTGTAGAAAGAGCCCGGCGCCCCGCAGGCCGGTGGACGTGGGCGGGTGGTGTCCCCGGCAGCCGTCTGCTGTCCCCCGTCAGACAGAGCAGGACTGGCTCAGCATGGTCCTCGGGTGCCTGATCTAGTGGACGTGTGCTTGTCGTTTAAAGGAAGATGCTGGAGACGTGCGGAGATGCTGAGAACCAGCTGGCCCTCGAGCTGTCTCAGCATGAAGTCTTCGTGGAGAAGGAGATTGTGGACCCCCTGTGCAGCATAGCGGAGGTGGGTGCTTCCTGCGCGGCGGCCGTGACAGTCGTCTGTGCCTTTTGGAAATAAGGGGAGTAAATTGAGGGCGCGAAATCCTTCGCCTAAGAGAAAAACATTATAAATAAATATTGCGCTTTCAAACGTTAAGCCCCAGCCCCCCGCAGCTCACCCTGCTGGCGTGCGTTCCCTCCCAGGTGGAGATCCCCAACATCCAGAAGCAGAGGAAGCAGCTCGCCAAGCTGGTGCTGGACTGGGACTCCGTCAGAACCAGGTGAGGCCCGGCGGGAGGGCCCCCGACACACGGCGTCACGCGGCCTCCCCGCCCCCAGCCTCGTCGCCAACACCGTCCCCAACACCGTCCCCAACACCGGAGGGAAGCACTGCCCCGTGGACCATGGCCGTCGTCACAGGGACACACCCCTGACCTAGACGAGTCATGGTGGCTCACACCTGCCGTTGGGCCTCGCTCTCCCGCGGTGGCAGTGAGGACCATGCGAGACCGCACTGATCTCAGCGGACCATGGTGACTGGAGGCAGGAGAGGGAAGGAGGAAGCCTGAGTGTCCTCAGGGAACAGGGTGGGGGTGGGAGGCGCTGAGAGCACCCTCTCGTCGGGCAGAGCGAGGAGCAGACGGGTCTGCGGTGCCGCTGGGGCGAACAGAGCGCCGTGGGCTGTGGTCACCCTCGGGTCAGATGCTGCTGCGTCTGGGGCCACTCGCATCAGACCAGGCGGCCTCCCCACAGGGCTGCTGACTGCGCTGACGTCAGCCCGGGCTCACGCCCGTGGCCACAGCCTCGGCGCTGTGCTTGAGGGTGTGCGTGCCAGCGACCGGCGTGGCTCCCCTCGGGCCTCTGAGAGCGAGGAATCCAGGCGGCCACCACCACGTCTTTCTCCTACTTTGCCACAGGGGTGACATTTTCTATAAAGGCCCAGACAGTAAATATTTCCAGCTCTGCAGCTCAGACGGTCTCTGTCGCGGCTGCTCAACCCTGCGCTGTGGCACAAAATTAGCCCCAGACAGTTGTGAATGAGCGTAGCTGTGTCCCGATAAAACTTTATTTAGAAAAACAGGCGGCTTTGCTGGCCTTCACTTCGTCGTTCGCTTTTTAATCCCCATCGAGTCCTGTGAAGTAGAATTCTTTCTGTTTGGCAAATCTGTGGAGATACAGCTATCATTTACTGAGTTTCTACGTGTCAGATGCTTTCATCACCGATTCACGAAATCTGTGACAGTGCAGCTTTCCTCGTTTCTAAGGCGCCATGAGTGTCAGATGCCCCACTGATTTATTATTCGCTTTGGGGGCACAGGGAGAAACACCACTCCGTTAAATGTACAGATCAGTTATTGCCGCCCCCTCCCCCCCCCACCCCGCGCCCCTCCTGTTGCTATAGTGCGTTTGGGATTGGTTGGCGATACCATCTTTGGAACGTTAGTTTTCACGAGTGTTTTTAATTCTCGAGGTGTCTCTGTAGCCATCAGTCACTAGCTCCGTGACCGAAGTTGAGGCTTTTACTGCTGGCAGCGGCCACAGGTCAGGGAACAGCACGGGGTCCCTGGAAACAGGGACGGACTCCAGCGGCACAGGGCACGTTCCGGGCGGAAGCAGGAGCACAGGGTGTTTGACGCCCGGGGCCCATGATCGCACAGCCCAGGAGGGCGGTGTCGCGGGCCGAGTTCTGGCAGTGGGGCTCGTGGACGGGACGCGGTCAGTTCTGCTCGGAGCAGACGGCACGCCCAGCACCGCCAGCCGCCCCTGGGGGGAAGCCAGCGGCCCTCTGCCTGCTTCCGCTCGCAGAGGATAAGCCCCCCCCGGCGCCCAGGCTCTGAGACCCACGCCAAGTGGAGCCAGGTTGGGAGGGTGGTGCCTACAGCCAGTCCTCGGGTCCCGGCGACCCGCGTGTTTTGCAGGTGGAACCAGGCTCACAAATCCTCAGGAACCAACTTTCAGGGGCTTCCGTCAAAAATAGATACCCTAAAGGAAGAGATGGACGAAGCTGGAAATAAAGTAGAACAGTGCAAGGTACGGCGATGAGTGCTGGCAGCCATCTTTTGGTTTTTGCCAATGATGGATGAAAGGTCATATATTGCAAATTATTTAATGTTGTGTATAATTCATGTCCATACTCTGAACGATATGAAAGGTTGTTTTTATTTTCTTCTTTATTTTCTAAGACCCTGCTTTCCTTTATAACCAGATTAAAACATTATTTTAAAAAATCCAAGTAGGATAGTTTTTAAAAACTTGACAAAAATGTCTAAGCTTGTTTAAAATAAAGAATAGGTGGGCAGGGGGTGGGCGGAGAAAATACCATAGCGAAATGTCCTAAAGTTACAGCAATTAAAACAATGCACAGTAGGCACAAATGTAGACAGTCTAGAGCAAGCATTATTGTATTTGAAGATTTAACATATAGTAAAGGGGTTTTAATGCATCTATGGGGAAGGGAAAGATTATTTTTTAAAGGTTGCTAGGACAACTGGTTTGTAATTTGAGAGAAATATAACTTTTTTATCTCATAAGTTAAATTCTAGATTAGATGGTTAAGTGATCACATTCTCCGTGTGTCTATCTGTGAAAGTTGATGCTTATTCCAAATGTTATTCGAGGTGGTAAAGGCACGGGTCTCGGTGACTTTTAGGGTGACCTTAGAGCTTTCCTCCTCTTACTATTCATCATTTTCCAAAAACGATCTCTTTATTCTCGCCTTAGGTCCATTTTATTTCAGTTCGTTCAGGTCATGTTAAAATTAACTTTCAAGGTGGCAAATCTTGATCTGTTAACTGTGGTAAAATGATGTTGTTTAAAATAACGTCTTGGCTTAGAATAAAAGCCGCACTCCCGAAGGCGCGTGTGCGTAGTAGCCTTTGCATTTGAAAAGATGATATTCAGATAAATGCTTCTGATGCGACATCTCGCGCTGGCTTATTCCTCCCGTTCGGAAGAGGTGCAGCTCAGCCATTCTCCCAGCAGCCTCGTCCACGTGCGTTCTGACCCACGTTTGGCTACTGGCTTCTTATTGGACACGAATTTGGCTAGAAGTTCGGGGAATTTGAACTGGTCCTTCGTGGACCGATGTCTCTTCTCTAAACTTCCACACCGTGGCTTGGCATTCACGTGGTGAAAACTTACGCAGATATTTTCTCTTTCTCGCTTTACGTTAACTTCTGGGTGATTTCCTGAGATCTAAGCTCCGTTTCACTGCTTCTCTCCTTAGCTGTGTCTGATCTGCTGCTGAACTAATCATCGTTGAGCTTTGGATTTCATGGACTGTAGTTTTTCATGTCTAAGGTTCTGATTCTTCAAGTCTGCTCTTTTGGATAGCACGTTCGTTTATAGTACTTACTTTTAACGTCTTTAATGATTTTATGCATGCTTATTTAACAGTCTCGGGTGTTTCTGTTTCCCGAAGATCTCTGTGAGAGTGTTTCGCAGTTTTGTATTGCGAGCTCATTTTAAGAGGGGCTTTATCCGCGGGAGTCCTGGGGATTTGGAAGTGAGTCCCCCCAGAGAGTATTATCAGTATGGGCCATTTTTACCTCATCTGCCTTTCCCTTCCTCTCTTTCTCTTCTTTTTATGTTTTTTCTTGGGCGGAGGGGAGGTGGGATGGGGACCCATGAATTTACTTTGTTGCTTTTCCGCTTATTCTAAAAGTATGTTTGTTATTTCTACTTAGCATTTTCAGATTTAATTTTTTTCTGTAAACAAGGCCTTCACGTTAATTTATGTACCTTGATGCTAAAATTAGAACATAGCACATTAAAAACACATACTTGAAATTCTAACATGTGTATGAGGATATATGAACATCAGAAAGATATATGTATATGCAGTTGCCTAAGACATTACTTAAAAAAATTTTTAAACATTTTTACGTAATTCATTTACATGAGTTGAAAAATGTCAAAAGTATGAAACGATACACAGCAACATCATTCTTCCGCTCCTCCTCCTCCTGCTCGATTTCCAGTGCTCTCAACGGGTGACCCCTGCCTCTAATTCTCTGTTTTCCTCTAGAGGCATTTTTATCCAAAGTGGCGATAAAATTTAACACCCCCCCACCCCGCCCTGTTTCACCCGTACGGCACGTCCCGTAAGCCGGGCTCTGCACCTCCGTCCTCGCTCGGTCCGCGGGCAGTCGCCCGGGAGGCGCTTCCGAGTGAGCCGCGAGGAGCCGCCGCCCCAGGGTGTTCGTGGTGCCCGCGTCGGGCGCTGCGCCGGAGCGCACCGAGGTTAACGCCCGGGCGCCGTAGGCCCCGGTGCGCTCAGCGGCACACCCTCTCCGCCCTCTCCAGGACCAGCTGGCCGCGGACATGTACAGCTTCATGGCCAAGGAAGGGGAGTTCGGGAACTTCTTCGTGACGGTGAGCGCTGGCCCCCACGCAGAGTTGCCACCTTGTAAAAATTCATCCATTTTAGCTTTTTTTTTTTTTTTGCAAAAGATTTCGTTTTTAGTTTTGCTCAGCCACCGTGTGTGTGTCCATCCGATGCTAACGTTGCCTTTGTTTTTGGATGTGGGTCTGTTCTCAGCTGTTAGAAGCCCAAGCAGATTACCATAGAAAAGCATTAGCGGTCTTAGAAAAGGCCCTTCCCGAAATGCAAGCCCACCAAGGTAACGTACCCCGCGTGCCTGTGTCGCCTCTGCCTCCGCCTCCTCACGGACCCCTCTGCATGCACCTCCCTCGCAGCCTCTCTGCCTGGGAGGGCCCCGCTTCTCAGCAGACGTTCATCTTTGCCCCTGCATTCCCTAACTTCTTCCAAACCCAATTAACATGCTAACGGGACATTTACAGTGCCTCTCAAATCTTCCGCTGACGAGAAAGCCGGATGCTTTGGGGGAGTTTTCCTTCTAAATAGGCTTGAAGAACTCTGTGGCCTCCAGCCATCTTTCCCCAAGGCGCGAGTCTGTTCCACGGGCCTGGCCCTGGTCCGGTGGCAGCAGGACCGTGCCTTCAGGGACAGTCTCTTGCGCTTTGCAGAAGGCACTTTCAAAGCCAGTCCTGCCGCACCGCCATTGGGCGCTGGCGGCCGTGGTGGGGGCGCGAGACCCCGGCCACTCAGGACGTGACCTTCTGGGTCACTATCAGACCTCCCCGCGCAAGAAACTGTGCTGTCTTTGCCGGTTGAAATATGAACAATGTGGCGGCACAATGGCATGAGACAGCTTTGCAGAGGACAAGGAAGCCGCGCAGGCACAGCGCCGGGCTCGCCCAGTCACGCGGGGCTCGGCCTCCCCGGCGTCTGGCTTTACGCGGCCTTGCGCCGCGATGCTCTAATTCGCCATTGGCCTTTCCCAGCGGAGATCAGACACCGCTGGGGCAGAAACGCTCTGTCTTCTTTGACCCGTGACACTGTTGCGCGTGGGGTTGACCCAGCGCCTGTGGCTCAGGTTCCCCTGCAAAGCCATCGGCCTTGAGCGGAACGGCAGGAAGCCGGGCCCGGGTGTGGTGGCTGTGACCGTGGAGGGGACCGAGCACCGGGTGAGCTGGGGTGTGTGTTGCGGGCACCTCGAGAAGGCCACTGCTCCCCTAAGTTTCAGGAGGTCCCCGGATGATGCTTTGTGCCAGAAGGCTCTGACTGTAGAATGAGAAATCCTGCCGGCCGTTCCCCATGGGACGGGCCGCCCTTGCCCTCCCGAGCACCTGGTGACCTCGTCCGGGGACCTTGACATTGGGTCACGGTGCCCAGGCACGAAGCTGCTGGTGACTCTGCAGCCGTGCATGCGGCGGGGCTGTCGAACGGGTTCAGAGCCTGGAGGACGCAGTGCATGGGCCACTGGCTGCGAGCAGGGCCTGCGGGGGACAGGGCAGCCACCTCGTCATTGCAGGACTTGAATTTCTTCCGCAGCCCCTTTTTCTCACTCCCATTCTATTTTTTTGCCCAGGGCTGTTTTCCCTAGAGAAGTGTGTCGAGAGCCTTGGGGACAGGGCAGGGAGGAGGTGGGGAAGGGCTTGAGGACAGAATGAGGAAAGCTGGCCTGTGGGAACAGCCAGCAGGGACTGAGACCACCCTCCTTGCTTCCTGAGGTCTCCCGGCCACCTCCCCCTCCTCATCTGCTCAGTCCTGTCTCAGCGTCCTTAGGATCGAAAACAAAGGACTCCAGTGCCCCCAGACCGCTGCGCACCTGCCCTCCCTGTCAGGTGTCCCCTCTGACATCATCTCGGGCTCTGACTCCGCCTTCCTGCACCTTCCGGCCTCCCCTGGGCTGCCGTTTAGAAAAACCAGAAGTCGCTGTAATTCCCAAAGGACCCGTGGCCTCGCGTCAGGCCCTGCTTGGCGCTGGCTCGGCTGGGCCCTCCTCCCACGTGGTTGCTCGCGTCCAGTGTCGAGCTGTCTCCTCCACGTCCGTCCCCTCGTCCCCTCCCCAGCAGGCAGGCAGTCAGGGTCCTGTCCCTGCTCCTGTGCTCTGTCCCTGCTCCCCCTGGGAACCCCTCATCTGACAACCTCAGCCCCCTAAGCCTCAGTCCCTGGTGGCGGGCTGTCCCCGAAACCGACCGTCCCTCACGCCAGCTGTCTTTGTCCACACAGTCCAGGCCTGACCCCCCAGGGCGTCTCGCCCGCCTCACCCTATGGCCGGTTCTGGCCACCCCCCTCTGTAGCGTCTTCCTTGCTGCCCCCTCCATCCTCTGCTCTGTGTCCCTGTCACCTTGTGCCTGGGCTGTAGGGCGAGTGCGAATTC